GTGGAAAATGTTATTATATTGTTATTATTGTTATATGTTATTATATCTTTTTAAAAAAGATATGATAACATAATCTCATTTAATATAATACAAAATAATACAAGATCTTCTGAATGTTTATCATAGCATCTTTCACATGTACCACATCCCTGTAATTATTTTATATGTCACTGTGATCAGCTGTGGTTTAAATGCACATTTTTAATTCAAGCCACAATAAAATGTTTATCACCAAAGTTAGAATTTTAATTAGGATTTCTCTCGTGTGTATACACATGGGATTTCATATTCACAAGATGAGATCTCCTGATGCTTTTCCTCTCAGTGCCTTGGATGTTCTACTGAAAAACCAATGGCAGCACAAACTTGACACTAATCATGGGTCTAAAGATGAAAAACAACATGTACTTGAGTTTGTTACTCAAATCCACCAGCTGCTGCCTGAACACACTGAAATTTAATTATAGAGGACTTTTAAGATCCCCCAAGTCCACCAGTGATAGCAGTATCAATACCTTTTAATGCTGCTTGTTAGTAAAGTGGACGTCAACAGGAAAAGAGCAAAAACTGAGCTGCTGTAGGCGTTTCCTCAACTTGACCTGACCAAAGCACTTAAACACCAACCGCTTGATGGAGGCAATGACTGGCAGCTATCAGGTCTTAGAAATAACAGTAGCTTAAGCTAATAGCTAAATCCAAGTGCCAGTATTAACGCAACAAGCCTCCCCACCACACCACACCAGCAAGCAAATAAGTCACTACACTGCTTAATAAACCAATAAAATGGATAGTATAGAGGAGGACGAGAACACCTGTAACTGTTGTAGAGCCTGATTAACACTGCCTGGTTATCTGGCTGAGTGCTGAATGAGCCAGCTGTGCTCTTGGGTGTGCCAGGACAGCCACACAACATCTAAGTGTGTGAAGAGGACTTTTGATTTACATTAAAAAACAAGAGTCTACTAAATAGATATCGTTTAAAGCACTGCAGCACAGTACCTTTAATACCTACAGCATGCTCTAGTTGCTATAATAAAATATTATGGTCCACAACGCTGAATGTGTGCTTTAGAGCAGGTAACGCTATAACATTACCTGCTGTTCACCATTCGTGGCCTCCCTGTTTCGTGGATTTTTTGTGTGCAATTTTGCATGTTTTTTTTTAAACAGCGCATTGTGTTCTGCTTCCTCATTGGCTGTAGACCACTGTCAATCAGTCTCGTGCCGTGTCTCCTGTACAGTACAGATTTATATTCAGCTTGTCAAATTCCCATAAATCTTCGATCACTGCCGTGTGACTCTGAAGTGTTGTACTGTAAGTTTTCTCCCCAACATACAACAATGTCAACGAAACGTTTTGCAGCGTCAAAGGCACCTGTGGTAGCACCCAAAAGGCAGAGGAAGATGCTAACCATTGCACAAAAAGTCGGACATCTGGACATGCTAAAGAAAGGTAGAAGTTACCGTATTTTTCAGATTATAAAGCTTGCCGGATAAAAAGGCGCATTAAGCGAAACAAAACAGTCAGATAAGTTCAACTTTACTCAGCTCATTCTTCTTGCTTCCTCTACTTCGTACGATTGATTCATAAATGTTGAATTCTCTGGCAGCTGCTCTATTCTCATGTTCTGGACCTGAAAACAGGGTTTGATCTTTGGTTTCATTCTATAATACTGGACTTATTTTTCTACGATGGCTTGAACTTTGAGGGTGTTTAAAAGTGTCTAAGAAAAGTGTATAAAGCATGTAGTGAGGGGTATTACAGCCTTAAAACATCTATAATAATTATAAAATATAAAGCCTGCTACCATGTATGTATACCACAATACATGTGGTTTAAAAGAGCAAAGATGGTAAAATCCCAGAGCTCAGGCATTCGAAACAAGACCTCACAAACCATTTATTTTGCAAACAGATTGCACCAATCTCAGCACGTTACCACAGGAACCAAAGACCAGGTACTGTCAAGAACAGAGGTGAGAATATTCACTCACATATTTTAAAATATTTTTTTATATATTCTTTGGGATCTCATGTAATATTGGTACCAAACCATTATCACAGAGCTACAACTACTGGATTTCAGTGCAGATTATAAACCATCCCACACACATACTTGTAGTCTGTAACCCAACCCTGCCACATGCAGATAAACGCTGTGTCTCCAGACTTACAGTGTTGGTCTTAGTCACCGCCTATTACAACAGTGAACATCCAGGGTTTGGGCATTAAAACGGGGGTGGAGTACAAATACCTGGGTGTTCACCTCAACAACAAACTGCATTGGTCCACAAACACAAATGCACTCCACAAAAAGGGTCTAAAAGGGTCCACCTGCATGAGCCTGTACGAGCGCTGAGCAGCTCGTTCAGCAGTAGACGTTTACACCCACATTGTAGGAAGGAGCACTACCGCAGGTCATTCTCACCAGCAGCTGTTAGGTTAAAGAACACAGTTTAGTTCTGTACAAACTAATTTCAGTTGCTTAAGTATATAGGACTACTTTGTGTCTATATTCCTCTTGCTTTAAGAGCTATCTAACATCAAAATGTCTAATTTGTGATAACAAAGGTTTATTCTATCCTATTCTATTCTGAACTATTCTAATAAATATCACTTTCAAATATCTCACTCAGATTCACAACCATCCTGAGTTAAACTGAGTTGCATGACGAACACAATGAGACGCGTGTGTTTCCTGTTTCTGCTCGTCACCTCAAACAAACATCTTCAGTCATAACCACAGGCAGTCAGACAGACCCCAGTGGAAAGAAAACCCCTGAAGTGGAACTGTGGTCTTTTTAAATTTTTGCATAAAGGCACCAATATCAGCTTTTGTAGCATTCGCATTACAACCATAATTAATACTTTATGACTGAAATGTGCTGCAAAAAGGTTGAGGTGATATCGCTGTTTCTGGCCATGCATAAA